CCATAGCGACTCATTTCGAGACTGCGTCTAAAAATCTCATGCGAAACAGGTTAATGAAAGTGTGTAAAAAATCAAGTAAGCTAAACGTTGCTTAGCTGGAACACTCGGCTTGAACCCTGCTGTACGACGTGCGGTGTACAACCTGCACAGTTGAACCCAACGTGTCTATTTAGAGGTACAGGAGCTTCATTCTTGCAGCTAGACATAGCAGAATAATCAAGTTGAGCACTTCATGAAACTACCCAGATCTTGCAATGTTAGGTGGAAAAGTCAAAACATACCAGCTAACCAGCCAGAGTTTTTAAGTCTTGGTGGTGGCTCTAGACATATTTGAGTCCTTATATATGGCAATTTAATTCAACAGTCCTATGTAGTTACGACTTAGACGAAACGAGAAAAGTTGTATTAGTTAAATATTTCGATATAAAAAATGTTCAGTAGATGATGGCCCGGCCCCTTACATGGGCTGCATTCTAAACGCAGCGTCGTAATTTAAAATGTACTGGCATTTTTACAATAAGAGAGATACTAATGTGTATTGTCTAGTAGGACATAACTTACGCTAATGGGAATGCACAATATTTCGACTGGGTGCCTATCCAGCGCTAGTCCGCTATTAAAGTACGTTACGTTACGTAACGTTGTGCGTAACTATGCTGCACATTATAACTATTGCTAAAGAAAGTTACTAATAATTTTAAGTTTCCTGAACGTAATGCGCACACTCTAATGTCAACTTCAATGTTTATTTTTGTTATAAGGGAACTTTTATAAGAGAACATAAGAAAAAATTTATGTTATAAGAAAGATGTTTCCCTAAATACTTGATTTTCGTTTTTTTGTTAGCCAAATACTATGCAATAGAGCTCCTTTAATATTACTCTCTATAGTATCGATCATATTTTTTCGATGCAGACACGAACTGGCCTGAGAACACGGTGTTCATTGTTTAATTCGACTAACATATAAACGTCCGATGTCGCCCATAGATGACGGTAAATGTCATCATGTCCGGTCCGCGTGTGGTAGAAAACATCGCTCAGGCCAGGCAAGTCTCACAGACGCTAGAAAACACTCAAGGTCACTTACGGTAGCCAACTGTATATCCAAAATCAACACATGGCTTTGGGCAGAACGTGTGAGGAAATATGGGTGGCTATACGTTATGTACACGTATTTCTAAGCAGCAAGCGCAACACGTATAGCTGGAACGGTATCATAGTTACGAAGTTATTTTATCGGCTAATTATAGTAGTTTGCGCTCTTTATTAAACGCATGCACGATCGCAATAATAGTACGACAGTGACGAACCTACTTGCCCGAGGCGGCAATTTGACTTCGAACTATAATAAAGAGACGTTGAGTAAATTTATTTGATCTGGCCTTGTTTGCTTCAGCAGGTATATTGGGGAAAATTTCTTTTCAGTAAACAAAAAATCTTCGTTGTTTTTAACCATAAAACCTGCGTGGATTTCTAAGTATTAGATAAATCGTCTTTGTTCTTCGTGAAGGCATTTCTCGTTCTGATTCTTTCTTTGTTGAAACTGTAATAAAGATTGAGCTTCATTTAGTTTCTAAACGATTACTAGAGATAGGGAAAACCTGCCCCGTAACTGAAAAACAACGGTATTGCTAGTTTGTATCAGGACATATTTCCGCACTCCATTATATGCACATTTTGTTCGCTGTGTATAGTACTTGCATAAATTAGATGGAAACAGGGTGTCTTAAATGTTTCTGCGGGAAAGATCTAGGAAAATAGAAATATGTTTTTAATTGATTCACTCCTTCAGTCTTTCAATATATATTTAACATATTTAGTTTTCTGTATTCAACATAACGTGTAAGTAGATACTAAATAATACATATACGAGTGACAAAGACGATCTTGAGACAAGAAACATGTGGGCGAAAATCCCCTAATCGCTCAAGATACGCCACCGCTATGACAACTAATCTAGTAATTTTAAATGTTCAGTTAAAGACGAGCGTCAATATTTATGCAGTTTCGTATGCTAGAATTTCATTTTTCACTTGGAAAATTTAGTAAGTTTCAAAAATTTCTCATTTCTAAGCTACACAATTTTCGAATTTATAATCAGATCTGTTTAGGGCATAATTCCTGGGCCGCTTTTGGCAGCCGTTCCCTTTTACGACCACTGCTAACGCGATTCCCAAGCGCCACTATAAAGAAGATACGTAGGGAACGTATCAAATGGTTTTCATTGCTAATTGGCCATTCGAAGCAACGTTTTTACGTCTGGCAGACGGAGGAGATAGGAATACAAATGAAGTCGGCGCACTTTTGCACTGAATTGCTGAAGTTGCGTGGTGGGCGTAATGAATAATAACTAGTATGTCTATCCATTGTAGCAGCTGGGATCCTCCCTCCGTAGCGCACGGCTTTGCATTAATTCATTAAGCACAAAAGTAATGGAAGGATGCCCTCCCATCCTATTTGGTCAAAAACGCCCCTATCTGCTACGATTCTCCTTGTACGAAGAGAAGGCTCAATGGTAAACATTTCAATTTGCCGCACAGTATTTCGCAGTACCAAACAGATGAAGGGTGTTTTGAAACGATAGTACAACACGGATCGAAGCAAAATGGATAAGGTAAAAGTTAGGCTAACTTAACTTCCTAGCAAGAAGCAATCAAGTTGAACACCCTGTGAGTCGATAGCTTTATCAGTTCAACGAGCAGAAAATACGTCACTTGTTCTTTAATCCAGTGAATGTTTTAGCATCAGTTCAGCATTGACAAGAGATAGCCGCTATTGTCTAGAATAAGCTGCCCTTGATAATCTGACGCTATGAGGTATGCTCTATACTCAGCCTTCGTTACTGTTACGTCTGTTATTGCGTCTAGATAGTTTGCCGTGCGTATTCGTCGTATTGCGAGAATTATTTGTGGACATTTTGAGATCTACTATTCGTCGAACTTGTTTACTCTAAATATTGGTCACGTCTTCAATGCTGAAATCATGGCCAAGTTGGCCTAAAATGGCGTTCGTTACTATCTTATGAAGTTCTAGAATTAAGGACCGACCTCTTTGTTTGTTGCATGCTCGACCTCAAACACATGGTTCGTTCTGCAGTATACAATTCCACTACCCGTAACTGGCATTTCCTGCCTATGGCACTCTCGAGTGCGATCTTTTAACTTTGACGCGATACTAATAACCGATCACCTACTTACTTTTGATGACTATCGTTAAAACTGTTTTAACGGCATTTGATACATTTACATTCACGTGTCGATAGTAAAATTTCAAGCTCTGCAAGTGTCTACTGTACGTAAATCTCCGTGAGATATTTGTGGATACACAAAAATGGTCATGAGGCCCGCAGCTGAATGTCCCAAATGGGTCAATCGTAATATTTAGTGTGAGACCATAAATGACTGGGGATATTTCGCCGTTGATGAGACGCCGTTTCAATATATGCGAATAATTAGCAATGTGTTGTCTCAATGGGTTCGTAAATAAGTAATTATTTAGAAGACGTTTTCTTAAAAATAGTTTATAAGTAAATAGTTAGTAGGACCATGATTTGCTAGGCCGTTAACAAGGTGAAGGCTATGTTCTTTGAGCGTTTAATAGTGAGAACAGGTTTGCAATGAAGTTTTTCTGGCTTCGTCAAGAAGGAATTACATAAGATTTCATTAGGCCATCGAGTTACGACGTTTGTTAAAATATCGAAATCGAAAAGAACGATAAACGTATGAAGCTATTTTACTGTCGTTCAAAACTGCTTGTTCGGTCTGCCCAGAATAAAACATATCCAAATATATCGTTCTAACCTTGTAAGACTTCAAAACATAACACAATGACGATCTTATAGCCTGTGGGGATTTTCCTAGAAATACTCTCGCTAGTGGGTTTGATTTTTAACATTTTCATCATTAGATCTGCAATTGAAGTATATTCTGGATGGGATCCAACCGTCATCGAATCGTTATTTATCAAATACAGGTTACCATTCACAATGGAAAATCCATTTACTAAAGACCTATATTTGTCAAATGTCTGTAGATATGTGTCTGGGCTCTAACTTCTAGTAAACCTGACGAACGGGCTTCACTTTCTGTTTTGCCGTTCTTTTTTGAAAAACGAGTGCCTGGTGTCGGATGTTGTTGTCTGCGTCCCTAGCCAGTCCACAACGGTCTCTGAGAGGCTTGGCCTTCCCGCCATGCTCATGTTTCCATAACAGGCATATCTCGTCACACCTTTTCCTTATGTAACAAACCGCTTCACAGTGAGTCACATTGTCAAAACACACACCGAGTTTCAGTGCTACGTAGATAAATAAAGGTAGCTATACTGAATATAGCACATATGCGCGCATAGGCAATCCTCAAATTAGTACTGTCAAATTATTGTAGCTCCACCCAAAGTGTATATAGAAATCATATTTAGTTAAAGTCATTGGGAAAATGCCACCCAAGCTATCAATGTATAACTGAAAGCTTCCGATTAGAGAACAGGTATTTTTTACATAAGAAGCTTCCAGTTGTAGCCAGCCTTTTGTCGGAAATCTAATATTTCTTTTTTTTTTACTTATCAATAATGTCAATACTAACCGCCCACATTTTATTGCATCTTAAAATGACCAATTGTCAACAAATTTAGCTAATTATCATTAATAAATACTAAAGTGATTGCCATTGCTTATGGTTTGTTTAGAATAGAAAGATCAGATATTCGAGAATATGCTGAGAGGTACAGCGTATAAAAAGCATAAGCTCGCTTATTCGGGATCGATTCAGACTGAATGCGGTCGGCTGATCACCGAACACAATGGCCAATTTGTTCTTAATAATTCAATTGGCGAAGAACACATTGACTGATTAATCTGTCCCTGTGATGATTCTACTTGTGTTTAGCTTAATGTGTATGGACATAAAATAACGTTTTTTTACGGACTGTTTTACGCTAGATTAGCTGGCGAAAGAAAGCTGCGCTATTGTAGTTATTTATATTGTGTCGTTAGATACTGACCTGATCGTATCGTTGGTTGTAGTCGTCAGGACGTCCCTGCCATTCAGGATCGCTGTTACCTTCCTCATCCTATAGACGAGAAAAGATCATAGAAGAGAAAAAAGCCGTACTCAATGTTGTATCACATGTTAATCCTAGACTTCTAACACACCCGAGAAAACGTACCACATCAACGCTTTCCAGCCGACGGGTTTACGCGGCCAACAGCGACCTTATCGGAATACAACCGTCTGCACCGATTTGCCGTTTTCCGTAAACCACACACTGTAACGGTGGATCAACGCCTATGGTTGCAAGTCTCATATCTAGTGTTGTTTATCAAGAGTACGTGGCTCCATTACGGTGCCGCTCCTTATCCACAGAACTGATACTGAGTTCACAAGCTTGCCTTTAAGCGCATTTCATGCAAGTCATCTCGACTCTCGCTCGTGCAGTAGCGCGATGCATTTGATAAGTCTGGCCATCATAACTCGCTATTCAGCCTGTTACCCAATAGCTACGTAACGGAAGCTGAACGCCGTAAAGTATCATAACAACCTCCCTCGGTCCAACAATGCATGAGCTGCTTTGGACTTACTATCGACCGCTGCCAATTCCATTCACTACTGATATCTACTACGGCCTGACCTTTTAATATATTATCCTTGACTCTTTAATGATTGTTAATTACTTGAGTCAGATGCTATGTTTGATTAGCACCTAAATCACTTTGAAAAAAGGGAAAGTCGACTTGAATTTCAACCTTGAACTCAACCTAAAGCCAGGTTCAATGTGTCGTGGAACGAGAGCTCGAACGAACGGTACTGAGAGAAACTGAATGTAAAATTGGGTCGAGACGCTAATCCTCAACTCGATTGCATGTTGCTACTCTTTTTCACTGCAGCTTCCCTTGCGCATATTCCTATATTCATACTCCTGTCTTACCCTTCATATTCTTTCTATTCTGAGAAGCCAATCTGGCTAAGCTGCCTCTTTTAATGAATCGTTCAAAAACCTTCAGATGACGAGTGCCTTTTTCAGGACGGTATTGCCGTTTTGTCACGCATCCATCCTCACCATCACCGTCTCTGTTTACAATGCGTCGAGATCAAAATAGCTTCGCTGCTGCATTCCGGCGTACACTTATCCTCAACCTCTTCGCTGAGTGCCCGCTAGCGCTATTCGGTTGCCAAATAGATGTCAGCCTCGATACACCTCCCAAACTCGCATAGTCTATGTCGACGAAACGACCATACGACCGCTAAGGTTGGCGGCCCACTCAACTGGATGCGTGAAGTCTGAGGTAAAAAGGTTTAAGTCTGTCATTCTCACGCAGATACAGGCTCACACATGGATCACCGGGGGGTACGCACTAACCGGTTACGGCAGTACGTAAGCTGGTAGGCACATGTCATTCCTTAAAGAACCCCTGAGAAATAAAAGACGGAGAAAAATCGGTCACGACTCAATGCTGATAACGGAAAAATGATTTTTTTCGCGTTTTTTCGTACACAAAACTGGGAAAGCAGATAAGGACCAGAGAGAAAAAAAAAAGCGACAAATAAAGGAAGTGCAGATAGCAAGGAGAACTCTATTTAAGAGCGTAAACCTAAATTGAGGGGTAGTGAAGGAAAGAAACGAAGGGAGGCCAACCTTACGGACTGTATACGCCCCCAGCCCCGGAAATCCATTGTCAAACAACCAGACTCTCTACTAAACCTCAATTCACCAAACTGTGCTATCGATCTTTGCTGACTCGACCAGTCCACTTTCTCTTTCTTTCGACGTTCTATTTATCATGTTTGCACTTTGATACTTCTGCTACATATACTGCCATTAGTTCATTTACTGGGCTGTTACTAAGTCGTCGAGGCAATGCATCATTAGAAAGAATACTCTAGCCATTTCGTTCTCCGGATCTTAGCTCAAAAGAGCCGCTGCGACGTCCTCTCCAACTCTCCCTTTCTCCCGGTTTGTTCAGGTTTCTTTTTCATGTACATACATTTACGCCTTATATCTATTAGACGTAACTGCTGCAGCCACTGATTGTTATTATTTCTGGCCCACAACCATCATCTCAGTGTTCTGAACTTTGAGCGCACGTGCATGCGTAAAAAATGAACTAGCCACAACCGCCGATGCTAGATCGTTCTCAAAGCCAGAAACACGGATAAATAGAAATAGCAAGACGGAGAGTGAGGAGGAAATAGGAAAAAACCCCCAGGCTTTGGGGCCAGCGAAAGGAAGTTTTATGTACTCCCCAACGATTGAAGGGTGAGAGAAATGAGCAAAACGAGGGAAGTTTCGAAAGCGGCTGTCTCTGTCAGAAACACAGATAGAAACGGGGCAGTTTGCGAGAGCTTGATGTCGGTAACTTGCAAAATAAGCCCCAGAACTTGGCGCTGCAGGCGAGTTGTATGGCAGGATGTCTAGGAACCCGACAAAGAGATGGTAAAAATAAAGGACTAATTGGCATCGACATTGTGACAGACGCTGATGTGTATTTTAAAGACGATTAGGTTTTTCTGGATACTTCCTTGTTCGTGGGATCCGCTTTGTTGGATTCCGTGGAATCTGTTAGGATTTACTTTTCGTTAGATCATTTTGGTTGTTTTAACCATTGGCCTTTCTAAGAGTTTCCCTTTGAACTGACATTTGCTCGATTTTACCCCTGAGTTGATCACAATTATTGACGCAGAGAAAAAAATCTAATAGGAGTTTACCGTATTTGCATGCGTACTAGCTCCCATCAATTGTCGTTAGCAAATTTACTTATGATGATTTTTTAAGACAAATTTGTTTAACTAGAACTTCTACATTTGACGTACAAAGACGAAGGAAACTCGCACGTTTTCATCAAATGAAAATCACGATTCATGCCCTTCAGCGAGTACACAATGCCCATTCGCGGATGTCGAAATGGCGCGTGATTTGTTCAGTTAGAACGTTAGTTGTGAGTTCGTCTTAATTGCCGCTAAATAAATGAGGAAAGTCCTAGTATTCTGTACCACGGCAGTAAACGCAATTATATCGCAACGATTTCTAGTGAGAGATAACATCAACACTTCATTGCAGAATCGCCTTTATTATCTAATAACTGGAAAGTTTGCCTGAACGCCGTTCGGCGTTAAGCCGCATCGTACTAAAAACATGTAGACAATATAACGCAGGTGGCCTGCCGGCTCAACTGGCACTAATACGCAAAAACGTTTTAGATTGTCGTTATTTACTGAAGACTGACACATCCAAAAACTAACTCTTCGTCCGTGCATACATGCATCAATATTTAAATGAGGACTTTAATAATCTGACTCTTACTTGTTATCATCCATGGAGGTGTTTTTATGGCTTGTTGATTCATTTTTTATCAGAACATGATAAATTCGTGTTCGAGGAAACAAATAAAATGCGTAGTATAGGAGTGAGAGTATGGGTTTAAATGTAACTATTACGTTAGTCCTGTCGATTTCTGTTTGCTATTTTCCTTTTCTAATTATGCATCTGCTGACGATCAAACGTGTGTGCAGATCTCTTCGCTGGCTCATTGTATCACAAAGGTTTAACCTGATTTTGAATTTTTAAGATGCATTAATCAGGTGTAATATCGACCGTTCTCTCACGTGGAAGAGCTAAGGAAGCAACCGATGGTAGTTTCTTCGCATACGGTGAGCATTCGAAGCGTACGTATAAGCTTATCGTGTAATTGCGTTCCTTCAAAGCTACCGAAGTGGAGCGAAGGGTTGAATACGGTAAGTCATTTTTAAGATATCTGTAACTAAACTATAAAGATTTGTTCACGTATCCCGAATTGTCGTCGTCGCCGCCGCCGCAGCTGTTGGCAAGAGGTGTGGAAAAGGCTGTTTTGTCACACTCAACACGTGCTCATCACTTGAACTTTTAACTCTGATGTATAACAGCGATGTATAGCGTTTGAACATCAGCAAATAAATTACTAGAATAAATGAAAAAGCTTTTTTTTTTTTTTTTTTTTTGGTAAAAATACTCTCTGCACAGTAATAAAAGTATGCTTTTTCGGAACGGAAGTTGTCGGATATCGAAAAGTCTTTGCGAATTACTGGTTTTATCATGCACTAAAGTAAGTTTAAATTACGAATATTTAGGAACCAGTAGGTTTAAGTCGTGACGATGGTCGATCTTTCCCTATTTTGTTTCTCGCGGAAAATATATAGATTAAAATATGGTATTCTAGTGGTCAATATTGTTACGCACTCTTATGTCAACTTCATGAGTCATTTTTCACTCATTTGCAAAGCCTAAAGACTTAAGGTTCAGATATATGCGCGTTTGGAAACACAATATCACGTGCCCGTGAATTACATTTGGTTCCATAGGGCGCCGTTGAGCTCCAAAACTGATACGTTGTTCGGTGATATTTGTAAACGGTGAAAACGCGAGAGGAGAGCGCGGGGGGGGGGGGAGAGGGCAGCTTTAACTACAAAAACTATTACTAAATATATAACTGTTAGGTAACAGACAACCTGTTTACCCCTGTCGACTAGGCTTGTGTTGGAAGGATGGCGGTGACATGCCAACTACCATAACAATTTTAAAACATCCGTATTTCATAGGCGTAATTGTGAAATTGCATATAGATAAGTGATAGAGAGAGACCCACAGAACCTTCGTAATAACTAAATAGACTCGGTGGTCAAAATGATTTTTAAAAATCCCATTTATTTCTATAGGAATTTATTCGATTTTTACCTTATGAGAAGGATAAACATGTACGCCATGTTCATTTGCTATACACAGGACATTTAGAAAGTTATGCAAAGCCTATAGGAGATGAACCGAAATTTAATTCAGCTTTTTTTTCACATTACATTTTTATTATTACGTTTTAAAGCAAAGGGGCAAAGAAAACAGGGAAGGAAAGCATAACTCAGAGACCGACTGAGGTATTTTTTATTGCCCGTTGAATTTTTGTTGGTGGGAACCTTTCCATGGGAAGTATCTTTTTTACCCTCTGCGACCGTTACCTTTAATAGCGTCACGACGCTCGATATAGCAGCCACACAAAAAATTACCGGAACATAACACCACCGTCTAATGCCCCAATGAATAATTAGATCATTTTTTTTTACCACTATAATAATTATAATACTAAATATAAGAATAAAATAATAATTATTATTATAATACATAAGAAATTTTTCTTCATAAAAATTTGAGGAAATCGGCTTCGGACTACGAGAAACGTTACTGTGTATCAAGACGTTTATGAGTTTTTACCCATGAGAATGAAGCTAAACCTTCCGTTGGCTACGGCACTGGATTGCATAGCAGAAGACAGCTTCCGGCAGAAGGAATTATGGGCACTCTAGTGAATTTCCAGTATATGAGACTGGTTTTTAAATAAAGATTTTGTTTCTGGTAACTTTTATTCACGAATAAGCGATCTGCAGGAGAGCTATAGTCGTAATATTTCGGCAGGTCTATAAGTGGTGAGTGCTTGTCCTTTTGTCTGCACAGTATATATATATATATATATATATATATATATATATATATATATATATATATATACTGTACCAGAGCTGGTCTCAGAAGTATCCTCAGCGTGTTCTGAATTATGAAGAGTTATGTCGCACCTGAACAGGCCGCTGTGTATAATTCAGGCCATTATTGGTCATCAGTTGCAACTAAACAACAGCACACGGTGACCCTTGACGCAGCTTCCTTGCTGTTTAAGTACACTTATTATATGGGTGTGTAGTGCTGCTTAGTATTTAATAGCGATACTTTCGATGTTACCATCGACTACGACTAACGCTTCATTGAGGTATTCGGGAACCTTCATGTGTACGCATCATGAAGAAACTCGATCAGTTCATGAATGAATATGCAGAATCGTCAAGGGTCGAATAAGAAATTCTTCCAAAACTAATACCGTGCAATATTGTATTGATATCGCATAAAACGTTTAGTAGATCTAAGAGGGCGTGTGCAGCGCAGAGACTTAATTTCGTTAAAGGAACCTTCGAGCATATCTGTGAATAGTGAGAGCCTTGTGCCTTGTTTAGCCTCACAATAGGCTTACTTAAAAGGTTCAAGTCAACAACCTTATAACGTCCTCTCAATAAGATATTTAACAGTTGATGATAATAGCTTGAAATACGGTAGCATATGTTTAATAATGCTTTAATCTATAAAATTATCTTTTAATTAAGATCAGAGATTCAGATCGTATCTACTTTTTTACCTGACAATTGCCGTTTGCTAACGTAAATAGTTAATAACTCACCTTCACTATAAATGTAATAGGATTTGTATTCAATAAGTTGAATTTGATTCGACATCACGTTTATTTACAATGCGTGAGAAGAATTGTGCAGAAGACTGTACGTGTTGCATTCTGAATAGCGTATAATTTTCTCAGTTATCTATCTTCGCATATCGCAGAAGAAATTTTGGAAGAGAACATGTTATGGATCCACTCGCTCGAGCTATCGCAAGCCAAATTCATCAACAATATTGATAAATTTAGCTTATGTGATCTTTTTAAAAAATAATAGCGCATCCGGGCTGAACTTACTATAAGTTATTGTGGATTGCTTTTGAGCACGCGCAAGGTAGCGATGGTTGAGTGAGTATGATCCTCGTGCTACATATCGAAGGTAACTTTTATAAACGACCAACTGCGGTCAGATAAAGCGCTGACCTTCATTGTAAAATAAATGAAGATTGTAAAAAGTCGAGCGACGGTGTCTGTGTGAACTCATCACAGTTTCTATCATTGAATCCGGCTCTGTTATTAATTAGCCGGTTTTTATTATTGGATTATGCATGTCTGGAGCTTCGGTCACGCTTCGAAAATGAGAACCAGGAGACCAATCTACCACGATCACGAAACATGTAAGACAGAGCGCTGCCTAAACGATTTGCACGTAACGCTACGTTCCGTGATTGAACGTCCTCTAAAAGCACGCAGGATATCTTTCTGAATGTTTTTTTTTGAGCAATGAGAAAACTTTAAAAAGCACAAGGAAACCTAAAGGCTAGTTGAAAAAGATTTTCCTAGAAATTTTATTTCTGTTGTGCAAACAATGTGTTACTGCACAAGCCTAAAAGTACATACATTTATTGTCTATGTATCCTTACACGGATCGATAAGCATTGACCGTATACGGGCTTGTTTCGTGTTCCTATCTCACTTTAGATTTAGTTCACAACAAAATTTCCGAAAAACAATGGTCTAACCATGAAAAATTAAATTTTTTCTTCCGATTGGTTAACACGTCCAATTCTGCCATTTCAACAGCCGTTTATATCGACTTCCTCAAATGGAGCACAGCGCCCTTGTGGCAATGAGTGTAAAATGCTATCTTGTTTATTAGTTAAACGCATTGACGATATTTCGTTTCTTATGTTCTACAATGAACGTAACGACCCAGATTTTTTCAGCATTATATCGAGCTGCCCGGTGCTAAATAAAGACTAACTTTGATTCCAAGATGGTAGCCTCACATACTCGAAAAGCTCCTAACTCCGTACGCAGTATGAAAGGCACACGGAACTACTAAATGGATGCCAACGAGAAACATCGTTTTTTGAGTTCTAAATAATAACTGTGTATATTAACTAGTATGTGATATATATTAACTAATACATGTAATAATGAAAACAGTATTTAGGTATGGTACTGTTAGTCCTCTGAAGGACCCCTCCTATAGATGTCTATCGTCGCGGCGTCAAACGGCGTGAAATTGAGGCTGCTCTTGTATAAAGATAGTGAATGACGGCTGATTGTATCAGTCGTGTTAGTACAGAATATGGATTTATCTTCATTATTGAATTTTAGTACTTTCTAAATAAATAAATAGAACAAGATTTAAACAATGTTCCCACACAGCCCCTACAAGACGCAATTCTTCACCCTGCTTTACGCAGAAGTCCTGATATGTCACATCGTCCCGCCGGTGAAATCCCTTATCGAATCAGATCACGACGCTAGTTTGAATGACTGTGGTATCCTGCATTGTCAGAATCTATCGTTTGCACTTTTCTATATTCTATATGAGAGAATCGTGTGTATCGAAACTCTTTTTGGTTGGTATAATTGGTAATAATTGTGAGGTAATGATTGGTTGGGTTAACCATAGCCTCAGAGCTACTCTTATCGTCTTCAAATGAATCCGGTGACCGCGTAGGCTAATCTGTGTTGGCTTCCTGATCTGTCTGCTGACAACTGTGGCGGCTACCACTAACATCATGCAGGTGCGAGGTCGCCTATCGTTGTTGCTGGTAGCGTTTTTGTGTTCGGCCATGCCTTAATTAGTTTAGCTTTGTGTGAACGGGCGCACAAACTGTAGTAGGAGCTGACGTTTTACGAAAGAGTTCGTGTCTGTACAATATAAGTGGTGTTTAAACGATAATGTATCAGACTCTATCGTGAAAAATGCATCAAAATTCCGAGTTACAGGTACTTAATTTTTCAAGTCATTAAATTTTATTTTTTTAATGTGTATTATCGTGCGATATACTCTCCCGGGATAGAAAAAAGGGAGTATCGTTAACGAACAATTTAGCACATCTCGGCCATTTTTAGTGGAAATTGAGACGGTCTATATAAGCAGTTCGTTTTGCTCGCCGTATAATTTTATACCAAAAAATGCTTATTGAGAGACATACGTACTTGTTGACGAGGGAACTTTTTACCTTGCTAGAATGTCTTCGCTCCTTTCTTGAGTCCTGTCGGTGAATCCTCGACCTCCTGCGAGACTTCTGTCGACCACTCTGAGGGGTCTGTCGTGTCAAATGTGATTCACCTTCAGATGGCGCACCCCCACCAGGACAGCGGACTAAAAGCGAAGAACGAGATATGATCATTTTTTAGGTTACCGTGTCTCACGCTAAAGGTGCCGTCGGTGGAAATGTCCGACTGCATCGGTTTTGTTTTCATAATAACACAAATTAACCCAAAGTGTTATTTACTGTGATACTTTACACCGGTAAGGTGTAGTCGCATCTTTACTGCCCTTTCACGTAGATTAGATCCTGTAATATATAACAGACATATTCTTGAAAACATGTTGCTTGTACATCTTTTGTTCCCAGTTGATTAAACCATAGATATGATTATCGAACTGCGATAGCTTGAAAGTTAAACCATATATGATATGTCGGCTTAGCAAGTGAAATAGCTAGGTCCTTACAAAAGTTACTTTTCTAATTTCTCAATGCCGTCCGGAGGATGACAGGGGAGCTGCAGATAGCAGCTTGAGGCCCAATCGTTTCCTTTAAAAGGTCTCGTGATTCGGCATAGTGTAGCTTTGCCAAAGGGATGTGAACGCGTTACCCTTTGCATTAGGCTATCTTTTTATATTTTATTATAAAATCACTAACCCGAACCTGACATGTTACGCTTATGAGCCCGGAACTCTTCTTCTCTATAAGCTACTACATTTGACTCATATATACATTAACGCTTCGTTTCCCCTGAAGACAAGTATTATCTGTAATTATACGATTCATAACAAAAGAATTCGTCTGGCCGGTGCTATTTAGCTGATCGAAAACTTGGACCATTTTTTTTCATTTCACCGCGCACCATTACCAGGCACAATAAGGTAGATATATATATATGAAGCCTTAAATAACTTATAACTATTTCCTATATAGTTGTATTATATCGTTCAATACTGAAGATTAGCACTGATCGCTTAAGTTTCTGTTTTTCGAAGGTGAGAATGATGATGGAACCTATAAAGGCGAAAAAAAAAAAGCTGGGCCACAGGGTTGTCCGCGAAAAACGGAAACTGGGTGGTAACCACAGAAGAAATAAAACCTTAGATGGAAGAACGAGTTCCTGTTTCACGGAAGCTTTTAAGAAAATCAGAACATGGCTACTATACTTCCTATTGACTTAATAAAATATTTTTCATATAAAGTAAATATGTAAAACTATAATGCAAAAAAAAATACTAAAGACGAAGCAGAAATGAAAAAAAAATGGGTTCCCCAGGAACTAAGTCCAAGACTGGTAAATACCCAGGAGCGGTTTACTTTTGGGATAGGTTGCGGGTCAAGCAAGAGAATGGCGTAGAACAGGAAAGGAAGCGACTCGAGTTGTACTGCTTAGTGGATTTCGGGTCGCAATAGATATCAGGATTGTTTATTATTACGAGTTACTGCCTGAAAAGGGGACGGCCAGTGCTGCTAAATACCTCGGATGACCAAAAAGCCTCATAGAGGCATAACGCGAAAACGGATAGCACCTAATGTAGGTACTCAACGGCAACGTACGATCTCGGCGTGGAAAACGGGGACAAGCGATGCTTTTAGTCCTCTATATTTTTATTTCTTAGAAGTTTACGATCCGCAAAATATCTCAGGTTAATGAAACTTACTTCAGCATCGGCAGAACATGTGACTCAATATGAGCTCTCGAATGATCGTTTGCGACTTTCATTAATCAACATTTCGTTTGGATAGGCAGAGCTTGCACCTCTATGTAACACTAAGGCAATGAAAACTTGATTTACGACATAGCAGAAACCTCGCGTTCTAGAGATCCTAGACCCGACTCGCGAAATAAGACCCTTGCGTAACCTGATGTGTTTGCAGACTCATTAGAGAATAGCTAAAAGCTTTCATTATGTAAAAAAAAATTAAAATTTTATATAAATAACTTATAAATGGTTGGGCGTCTCTTTCCTATGGTAAGATTGTTAAATTCGGAACAACACGGCCTTATAAATTAACATGCTTTACTATACTATAATATATAAGTTATATAATGGCGTCCATCGTGGAATCGGTTATTTTCCATATATTTCGTGACGTATTGATTTGGGGCCGGCCGGCGTAAGCGACACCATAGTAGTGAATGTTGAATCATTTATTACCTGATTCTAAACCACTGCGCTATGAAAGTAGCTCTGCTAATTCAACAAAAGCTTTTATTTGCCAAGGATGTTCCAAGGACATACGACACTAATTATTTACATATTTGAGTTGAAGCCAAAGCCTTTACCAGGGCTCTGCATTACCTACGCGTTGATATGCAGATGTCTAAAGGAAGCTTTATGTTTTTGGGGGGATATCAGTTTTTCAAATGTCGCTTGGCTCTTGAGATTCTCTGTGACCATAACCTGTTTCAAGTTCTTACTAAAAAAAAACAGTACTTCAACGATTTGTATCAATCTGAAAGGGGACTAATTGTTCAGGGGATGACCATGTTTAGGAGGCAAGATCGAGCCAAGTAAAGCTGGTGCCAGCAATAATAGACGTGGTCGGTGTTTAGAAGTAATGCAAGATGCTGTTTTGATTCGATCATCCCTCATATAATCTAACGGCGGAATCTGTACGAAGGCTGAAAAAGGCTTTTAGCCGGTCAGATATACTGCCTACAATGTTTGCGTTCGCAATGGAAAATCGGCAGCTTGTTTACACCTGAAATCGTAACGTAGTGACAAACGCTAGCCAACTATAATTAGAACGAAGAAAGTTTATTAAAGCGTCGTACACCCCGACGCTAGGGTTTACATAAACATTCACTTTGATCGTAATATCGATCTAGTCTATTTTGCAAAATTGTTAACTTTTCTGTGTTGACAATCAGGCATACTACTACCACTATCATCATAGAACAACCAGAAAAGAAACACTTAACAGAATATAAAGGAGCGAAATTTGGTAAAATATAAACTTCAGAACAAAAACACGGTCGTCGATTTCGTTCCAACCAACAGCCACATGTAATGATATCTCGTACTCTGTTACACGGCTAGATGTTACGGTACTATTTTCATCAATTATTAGTTTGATATCTCTTAATTTACAAAATTCAGCTGTTGCTTTGTAACATGTATGAGATGTGTTGTAGGTAAGGTCTATTAGGTAAACAGCCAGTAAGTCCTCAGTATGTACATTTTCTGCCCTAGGATAACATTGATCGCTGGAGTATTCCTGGAGTAATCCGAGGGCATCCGTTCTTTCTTCGCCTAGCGCCCTAAGCAGTCGATTTCGGACAACTTGCTGTTTTATTCGAGTTTTTTTTTTGCACATTTTCTATATTATTATTTAATAAAAAAAAAATAAAACAACATAGAGATGCCCTAAACTTATCGCTTGACAAAATCGACTGTATCACTACAGGACAAACAAGATGAAATTGGGCAATTCTTCGTACGTATTTGTAGCTGTAACTTCAAATCAGAGACTGTCGTGGCAACTTCTAGATAACAAGTTGATATAGTTTTACAGATATCAGTAGAAATATTACTAATCAACGCTGATACTGCAATAGTCATTGAGACAATTTTCAAAACAGCAAAATCGCTCATCGCTATTGAATTTCCTCTACTGCTCAATGACGCCCTAGTTGCCTTTGTTTAATTAATAATGTATCTTTTATTTAATTTATCCAGAAATACTTGTCGTGATTTTTGATGCAGAAGTGAAGATGAGGCGTTAATAGTGAAAACAGCGAAGTTTGCCTACGTAGCGAAAGTCGCGTCTGATAACGGTATGTGTAAGACTATGAATATGATAATTAACACTTTGAAGTAGCCCTTATGTTTGTCTATTAGATATGTTCTGTAATGCATGCAGATTTGTACTTTACGCACGAAATCCACCCGTCGCACGATAAATGTAAGGCATGCATCTTCCCGTAGACACACTATTATACACTGTAACTTACTCATGTATAAATTAAAGGCTGTAATTGCTCGGGGCAAATGGTCTTCTAGTTGATATTGCATCTACATTAGCGCTAAAAGCTCGAATAATACTAGAAAAGAATGAGCATGTTTTTCCTTTTATATGAGGTAATTTTTCACCTTGCGTATTTGCACTTCCTTTTTTTTTTTGTTGTCCTCCTTTTGCACCCTCCAAAAAAGCGCTTCTATGCCGTCAGCCGTAATCGGAAACGTTATGGGGACGCTGACTTCTCTTACGTTATATAGCGACACTAGTCTCTACTCAAAGCTTGGTTAATTGCGCGACTGCCCAATTAACTACAGGTGACACAGGCCATAAAGTAGGTCCTAGAAAGAATAAAGGACGGGAGTAGAATTGGGGGCAACGCTCATCAACGATTGGTCTGCGCACAAGGCGTTACAAGGGAATGTTAATAACAACGAGGTCGGCAAAACGGAATCAGAATTAGCATCCTAACCAATAGCGTTTCTTGAAAGAGGCGTAAGGACGAACGTCAGGTTGGAAGACAGCACAGGCTGCTTGCTTAGGCTCAGGCTGTGCCTCTATCTTGTGTTCCCGGCGTTTTGCGTCAAATGACACAAACTGAACGGAAGTCTGTTCGCGTTTTTGATGCGCGTGTTGTAATAGCAGATAGCGAGAGTGTCTTTCTGTCGTTTAGTCAACCGAACAGATTTTCAAAATTTTGTCAGACGAAAATGTGGCTGCAAAAATAAGGAAATAATATAAGTTACAAAGAGACGTTGAAGTTCATCGAGTGTGATGTGTCGAATCGCTGGCTTTTTTGCAAATTTTCGTTGTACTCAAAAGACAATTATGTAGATCAGGTCAAGAGTTTTGTAGCTTATATTGATAAACAGATTGTCTAGTAGTGCCGGGTAGTTTTCTCCCACGGGCATATAGTAAACGAATTTGCCTCTTTTAGTCGCACAGTGATTTTCCCCATGGGGCCTAAAGAAGCAGAAGCCGCTTCCGTTGCTCGAGGCAGTCGAAGGCTCGTTGCCTGATCTAGTTTTCTGCTATTTCCGTTTGCATCCACGATGCGAAGTCAAGGGGCAAAGCATGCCTGCACTCTAATGGCTGTCTTTACCCTGGTAGGCTGTCTCGCCTCTCCAGTCTGGTCTCGTCGACTTTCTACGACACCTCAGTCACGGAGGTGTTTTTTTTCGCCAAAGAAAGATAGGCTATTCAAGAACAAACCTTCACGCGTAAGAAATGTCTTCCTGGACGTGTTTACGATTCTGCTAACCTCTTTTATCTCTACTCTCGTGTCCCATAACTGCCGAGACTGACACTGAATATTTATACAGTAGCTGGCTTCGGCTTCAAACCAAATTTGATAGCTGAATGGCAAACACCTCAATATGGCGTACATACTGAGCAGTCGTGGCTTCAGGTTGTACGCCAGATCAATTAGAAGAGACACCGTTCCAGTTTCTAATATATTTTTTTGGTTTCGCTTTGGTAGTCTCTGCGATCTTTAACCTACAAACTAGTAGAGGACCCATGTTTCGCCTTCTGGCCGATTTTTTAGGTATCTGGCTATGGCCAAAATGTACATCTATTCAAAATATATATTCTAAAAAATAATAGTGTATGAACTCCACGTTACATAAGGGAGCACTGAACTCAATAAATTAGGGCATTTGAGTGACACTAAGTGTCCTACCTGAGGCGACTGTAATAAATCACATTCATTTGACAGCATGATATGATTTGTTCAGACTTACCTAGAAAACGTACAAGTGTTCCTATTGAAGTGGCATAGAGAGTACCGATTGCATCATATCTGCTAGCCCGTTTATTACACCTTCATAACCTCATAAACGTTCATTAGAACGTAGCTTAGAATTAAGCTTACTAAGCTTAAGTAACTAAGAGCTTAAGTAAATAGAGCTGTGTACTTTTCATTTAAACATGCAAAGATCACTTAGAATCTTCTCAACCATATCACAAGTTTATGGCTGTTTAACTTTTGGTGTTTAACTCACTTCCCTATTGTTTATACCGTTTTAGTCGTTGAAGTAAAACACTTACCCCTGTCGTCTTCATCACCGCTTCCATCCGAAAAGGAATGGCCATGCGGCAATTGCTGTTGGCTGAGCGACGTAATATCACGATGATGCGAGGCTGCCGATCCTGTTGCCGTCGCAGAATAAGGCACGTGTTGAGAGTCGGGCTGGCTCTGACCATGGTGTGTCTTATGTGATGAAAACGAGTGCCCCGGACTGCTACGGAGCGGCCCCCCGCCCATAGAGCCACTCGCGTTCCCACTCCCATGGGCACCCGTCGATTCGGACGAGGATCGTCTGCTGCTGCTGCTGCCGCCTTCGACACGTTCACCCGCACTTTCCGTACGGTGCTGCAAGCGACTGCTGTTGCGCCTCAGGTTCGGTGAGCCCCTGAATAAACGGATGATGACAGAAAAAACAGCGACTGTTCAACAGAAACAAATGAAAAATATTTCATTTGTGTCATTTTTGTGCGCTCTCCTTATGAGTGTCTCCAGAAGAAAGTGTTATAAACAGATACTTTAAGCCAACCAGTCTATAAAGATATGGCAGATGATGCTCTGTGTAAAATAAGAACTAGAAGTTCTGTCACGCGGTTTCAGCGTTCCGTTTCTTATCGATAGGGTTGTTATTGCTTGCCTCTTTTCGATGAACCTGTGAGCTTTTCAGGATTTCGTAGCGTATCAAGATCATTTAGCGGTGCCTTATATTGTATGCAATTATCTATGTTCTATCTATCTTGTCTATATGCAACCCATACGTACGTATATATATATGTCTACTTTACTAAAATGTCCCACACAGAGCGAAATACCCCAGATTGATACTTCGTCAACCCACAAAAATCGGCTAGAATAAGGTGGCAACAATAAACCCACATAAGGGGGGTTTCATTATTATAAACGGATTTACTTCAGGCCGAGTTTTGTTGATTTGTTACGAATTGATAAAACAAGCCGACGTGAAAATTGTGGGCGGGTTAATTGCAGTAACGATATAGGAATTATACACATACGAATGGGAACCGCGTCTTAAGAAAGCGACGGTTATAGCTGTGGCTGAGTAGGAACAAAGGGCCAAAACAAGGGTGTGCCTTTATCAGTGGAAGGTTTGAGTTAGTTAAGGCTTTAACGATAGACTGTTGCCGCCCCGTGCGCACAGGTGTGCGGGGTTCATGTTTTTTTTTACGTTAAAGTTTTCCTTTCGGACAACAAAATATGCACAAATCGGAATAGAAATATGGGCTAATCACAATAAGAAAAGCAGTAATATCACCTAAGTATTTCAAAAACTAAATGATCAGTGTAGCAGGGTACCTAAAGAACGGTAGTAGATTGATTTGGTAAATAGAATTAGTCAACATTTTTGTTATAACAAACAATTTCCTCTCTCATAGGCCGCAATGCTGCTTGGGTACAGTTTAATTCTTCGGATGATGTGTTCGGCGACGCTGAGAGAACATTTAAGTTCGTGTTAAAAAATTGTTTGGTGTTTTTTTTTGTTGACTTATCCTGCTTAGTAAACATAGAACGAAAGTTTCATCCTTTTCCATTTCCTCAACTGTTTATTTCAGAATTTTTAGGTGAACTTACGAAGTATTTGCGTGCGGCAGTTGGCTATTTGTATACAGTAAGACATAAATAGAATCTGTTCATAGAAAAAACTAGGTACTATATATATATATATATATATATATATATATTGATAAACAGAGAACGGGGTGAGTGTAACAGAATAACTATTATAGAGTTTTAAGTTGGGTTGAGTGGCACGAATCATTATTATTCTGGAACAAAAGATTAGCTCAATCGGCAAAAAAACGGCGGGAGCAGGATAATGGCGTTAGTGCAAGAACGTCCCGACAAACTCAAACAGAGTAAATCTGAATTGAAGCTGGGTGAAACGTAACGGCAGGCAGATATAATGAACCGGTAACACCTTAAAAGTAACTGAATGTTATAATGAATTGCAAAAAGATAGTTAAATAGGTCGAACAGGGTAGGAGATAGCTCTTAGTGTGAATTTGGCCGGCTGTGCTATGGACTAATTAAATTACCAAGAATATCAACGGATACAAGGGAGCCCGTTAATTTTTCTATCCAATAGCTCTACACAATTTTTCCGTTTATTAATAGGACTACTGGAACCTGCATTACGGCATTATTTTACTATCTACTAAGAAATACGACCGGCGATTCAGGCTACGACCGCTACAACTATTGATCAGGAAATGTAAGTTACAGTTGCACGCCACAGATGGATGACAAAAACGATGAATAGGATACGTAAAGACCCAATTCAAACGGCAAATGAAACCATCTTGGTTACTCCGCCAATCTTGTTGACGCGCTGCGTTTCTTACATAACAGCCGAATTGAAAGATATAGTTGGTAGACATCGATTTGACAGCGGTCATGACGCAGTCCAAATACTGGTTCAATGGCCAGATAATAGGACAGAATTAAATGTCTTGGAAAACTATTTTAGGTACTCAGATCCAGAGTCGGGATGGAACCCCTGTTGGTCTGAGGTAGGCTAAGCTAGCCTGCAGATCAGTAGGTGGCGCCCCCTCAAGCGTTCATCTATCTGTCTTTTACTTTTCCGTAGTGGTATCATCTCAGGACCAAAGACGCAACGAAGGGACTGCGTCAGTGAAACATAAATATTTCGAATGAAAGCGCTGTTCAGAGAAACTCTGTGAAAATCCCCGGGGAAGATGAGCCTCTTTAGAAAGCACACGGAGCCTACTTACTGGAGATATATTAGAGCAGCGTCTCACGCTTAATAATCAACTACGAGATACGAAATGTAAAAATAGTAGCACAGTTATATTATAGTTAATGTTATTGAAATTTTTGAAAATCGTTATAATTAATTATATCAATCAACTTGCATTTAGCTAGTTGAGTTATGTAAGTTATGCGAAGTTTTCTTTCCCAGAAAAGTCTAAGGCTTAAAGAAACAATATAACGGTCGCGTATCACCATTGAGATCAGTGCAAATGGTACCCCAGAACAGCGTTGTTTGTTTGTCGTTTATGATTCTTGAAATTAGTGTTCTTTTTTTTTTTTACAGAAACGCACAAGAAGTTTTTCTATTATTAGTACGTAGACAAGCACAGGCAGGGTTTGAACACAGCCGAAGTTCGTCGATTTGTCAAGCAGACGATTTTAACTGGCAATTGCTTCGGGTGACATTGAATAAACCTTTGTCAATCGTCGTTGTCTACGACGTGCGCATTGTATTAAATTGCTTTACATTATTATTTTATAGGATAAAAATCAATATATTCATCCATAACGATCAATAATAGTAGTGATGAAAAACATTCAAGTTGGACCAGGCCGCTGTTACTCAACAGTCATTCAAAGGGGTCGCCACAAGGGTCACACTCCAGAAACGAAGTCATTCATAGTGGACTGACTAGATGAGATGAGCTACAATATACTATATATCCGAAACGTCGTTAATAAGGATATGCAACGCAGATAAAACTTCTACCGTCGCCTTTCGATAGCTCTGATCCATATTAGCCAGCCTTAATGCCATCCGTGACGACCTATTCTAACAACTTAGGCAGTTTAGGTGGATCGTCACAACTTAATGGAGCGCGCTGACTCCCCGCTTGCATACTGACATTAGTGATTACTTTTACTGCTGTCACTGATATAACAGCTGCTGTCGCTGTCGGTGTACTACTAATTACGATGAGTGGAGGTCGCAATCGAAGTGAATAGTAGACTTCCGTACGTGGAAACCCAGGTCTAATGACAGCCGTAGTTCGACTAAAAGAGAGTTCGAGGTAGAAAACGTTGTAGAAAACACCAAAAACAGGTTGTTAGAACAAGTAATACCCATAGCAGCCGGAGCGCATAGGGGTAGGCACGGCGAAAGCTGACTGAGGCTTTTACCAACAAACCAACCACGAAGAAAAGCAGTGGCCTTATATAGTACGCTCTTGCCTTACATGTCTTTGGTCAGCTTGCGTGCATCCCATGGTCGTTTCTGTTCTGTCGTTTCAGACCAACCCACTGCAGAGAGAAAGGCGAACGGGCAGCGGATATCTGATGCTGACTCTATAGATGAAGAGCTGCTGTACGACGTTAAGTGTGACATTCCCAGCTTGTACGAAGAGGCTCGCCTACGAGGGCCTTGTGCGCTCCATACAATCCGGTAGATACCTTCCAGCAGTTAGGCTTTTCAGGTCAAACAACTCTGTCATCAGACATTCCTGCGCTGGCGAACTAATGTCGTTCAGTTCCCCGGCCACCATCTCAGCGTACAAGAACCAACATGCGCGCCCCGCTGGGTTTAGTAACATGTTGCACGTTTGGTTTCACGACCAGACAGCAGGGAACATTCATTAGATTACAAGACACACCGACGCAATGAGACGAACATCACAGAAGCGGGAGAAACCTACCTTTGTCCCTCGCATCATCCTAGGCAGGCAGGAGAACAATGTCTGTTGGTGCTGGAATCTGGAAAGTTGCTGGTCAACATGAGCCGCTACGACAAACCCTTTTTCCCTTCCTTGCTCGCCTATTAAAAGTTGACGGCTTTCCAGCTTTGCATTGAGCTTGGAGTTACACTATAGATGACACAGCAGCAGACGACGGTGAAGCTTTAACACAACTACACATATTAGCACAAACCTACACGTCAACTTGTCAAATCTCAACAACGGTGGGGGGAAAAATACGTGGCGATGATACACAGACGAGAGAGAGCTAGAAGCCTGGTCATTAAAGTAACCGATGGCTTTTGCAAGAAATACAATACGAAATAATATATTGACTAGATATAATCCAAGGTGGCCAATAACTTTACTTTATTCACTAAGGCAAAGCTCGTCTCATATAACTCTCGGATTGCGGTTGGAAACAATTTCATACAAAAGATGGCATTTCGGCAAAGATTATTAAACGCCTTCGAAAAAATCTAAGGGTAATGATTTATATTTGAAACGTTGGGTTTTATGGTTTGGGTTGAAAGTGAAGTGTGTCTTTATAGTACACGTTGAAGCTATATAGAAAGGCTGTAGCGAGTTTTGACGAAGTGAGTTGAAGGACGTAGCGAGTTCCAAGTTGAAGTCGCAATGTAATAGTCTTTTACTCAAATATAAAGTAAGATGTTAGGAGAATTAGAAAACTATCTGCACACAGAGCACTGTAATTCAACAAAATTGAGACTGCTGCTCATTAAGCTTCCTCTCAACCGATAGCCAGCTATATTGCAACATAACGTTAGTTTATTTCATCAATTAAGTTCCGCCATAAAATAACCCGGTACGCCGTACCGATATCCACGGTGGCGGACATCTTCCTATAGTTTAAGGTTTCCCTTTCCCCGAAGCCGTTTCAGCTTTCACCGAAAGAAACGTTACGGCT